GCCTGTTTCTGTAAGATACAGACAATGATAGTATCCATCTCAACAGCAAAAAGCATTTATCCTTATCTTATAAGTATTAATACTCAACATATGGTAGCTCTAACTCTTTTCAACCACTCATTCAGGTGGTGAATATTTGCAGAGAGTACAATGAGTTCTACCAAAGTCTCTCTTCTCTGGACTAAGCATCCCCAGTTCCTTACACCGATCTCCTTTGCTTCTCTCACTGCAGCTTCTCTCTTCGTGAGGCATTCCAGGCTGCTGCTATCCCCTCCGGCTGTGATGGTACAACTGGATCTCTCACTGGAGTCTGGCTAAAACAATGAGAGTGTGTGTGCCATCACTTTCCTGAATTCCAAATGCTGTACTTTGATAATGCAGCCTGATAATGCATCAGGTTTTGGGAGAGTAACAACCATAACCATGGTTGTTGTTTCAGTCGCTAAGTTCTGTCCAACTCTTTTGCCACTACATGGACTATATATAGCCCACCAGGTTCCTCTGTCCATGGGATTTCCCAGGCAAGAATATTGGAGTGGGTTGTCATTTCCTTCTCCAGAGGATCTTCCCAACCCAGGGATAAAACCCACGTCTTTTGCGTTGGCAGGCAGATGCTTTACCACTGAGCCACCAGGGAAGCCCATAACTACAGTTACTGAGCTCTTAATATACATGTCAGAAATGATGCCAAGCATATGACTTATACTGACTAATGCACTCCACACATTAACTCTAGGGGGTAGAAATTATTATCCTCATTTTTCATAGGAAGAAGCTAATACTTAGTGATGCTATAAGTGGAAGGTCAATCCAGCTAAAATATGATGGAGCTGAGGCTCCATCCCCAGTATGTCTTACACTAGAGTCACAGTCCTAACTTTCACACCATACTTCTTCTCACAAATACTAAGAATTTGTTTAACTCAAATTTTAGGTCTTGTTTTCTCCTCATGAGATGTTAATAAGTTAAGTCTCCCCAGTCCTGCTCCTCTTCCGCTGAGCTTTTGAATAGGATCTTATATTGTATCCTTACTCAGTTGGATCATATCAAATTTAATCCAGCATACTCTCTCTCCCATTAACCTCAATTCATCAGCAAATGTAATTCGATAAATCACAGTTGAGAAGGAGATGTAGAACACAGCCAAGGGCAGAGCTCTTTGGCAAAGTGTTAGATGTATTTCCCTCAAGGTGAATTACTATCAAGTAGTCATTTCCTAATGGGGGTCATGTCCAACCTGTTACCAATCCACAAAACTGAATTAACTAACATCCAACCTCCACTTCTTTATCTCACTGACAATTATTTCTTGAAATATAACACAGCCTTTATGACAATATCTACAGTTACAGTCCACTCTAAGAAGGACTGCCCCAGAAAGAATTGTGGATGGTAGGCTGAAGTAGGTATGAAAAATATATACATGATGATCTTAAGTGCTTAATTTCTTTTAATGGAGAAATTCCATCTTTGCTCCCAGCAGATAAAGTTGAGGAAATATATAAAGGGGAGAAGATGAACAGAACTTCAACCAACAGCCTTCCCTAGGATCCATATGCATCTACCGAAGCCCATCTCAACTCCAATATCATGCAAGGACAGGACTCCAAAGGAGCCTCGGGCATTCCTACGTAAGTCAGAGGAGAAGGATCTTCACCTTCTCCTGCCTTTCTTTCCATCTGCTGGAGCAATGCACTGCCACTTTAGGCTTTGGTACCTCAGTTAACACCAAGGAAAGACTACTATAATTTTGGTCTTTTTATTAAAGAAGAATGAAGCCCAAGGCTCTGCCCCACCAAGTACTAGCTCGCTAGTCTCAGAACTTTGAGTCTACTTGATATTAATCCATTCATCAACCTCACTGCTGAGTCCCACAGAGGGGTGACTTGTACCTGTGGAGAAAAAGACCCTTTGCCTCAAATATAAACAGAAGTGAGCTTGGCATGCCAGCCACCCTGGCCGGAAGTTCTCAGGCCCTGTGAGGACACTGCTGAGAGGCCCTGCAGAGCCCGCAGGACATTCTGGGTAATGGGATGCAACATGAGGCAGTTTCCCCCACTGGCCTCCCCAGGGTTTCTTGATTCCTGGCTCTGCAAAAGCTGAGGCAAACAGTTTTTGAACTGGGGGAAAAAGGGTGGAGAGAAGGGGCGGAGGTTTCCTCTAGGCCAACCACAACTAACTCATGTGCTCTGTCCAGCAAAACCCAGACAGTGCAATTATCTGGTTAATTTGGCCCTTAGTTGGGAGACAGAATTCCAAAATGTGAGGCCAACTCAGACTAAACAGTGGCTTCCATCCTAAGACTTCTCCTAAGTGCTAAAGGATGCATGTGAGATGCCTAGGGGGTTGCTTATGTGACCCACCCATCGATCCAGATGGGAAAAGACAAACAATTCAGATTCTAGGATGAGTTAAAGAAGGCATATCTTCCAGGGAAAAATGCCCAAATGACTGCTAATTGGCCTCTTGGCTAATTTGCCTTCTGATTGTCACGGAGGCAGATGACGAGAAATCAAGATGATTCTAATTAGCCAACTTTTCCAGGGTGGCTGTAGCCTTTAGAGGTTGGCTGAGTGTCCCCAGGGTCCTGCGTGAGCTATTCTTAGGACAACTCTCTCTGATGCTCCTGCTAACAGATTTACACCCATAAGTTGGGCCAGAAGCAGCAATGAGATAAAGGGCAAAATTAAAACATGTTCCTGGGGTTTCACAAATGGAGTGAGACTGCTAGCAACTGAGCATTTACCAGATGGTTTATGGAAAACTCAGATTTTTGAGGGAAGATTAAAGAACAGCAATTTATCTCTATTGGAAACTGACAAGCAGACTGGAATCTGTGGAATCCATCAGTTAGTCATTCTGCAAATATTTGCTTCCGCTCTAGTATGTGCCAGGCCCTGTGTTATTTAACAGAATGAGATCCAAACAGTCATGGTCCCTACCCTCATGCAAATAATACCACATCTAAATAAATATGTGGTCAAAAACTCAGATAAGGGCTAGAAAGGAAAAAATGGGGTGCTAGGTAAAATAACCAGGTTTCCTGATTTAGATTGCGGAGGGAGGGCTCAAATAAAGAATGTCCGAGAGAGGAATTTTAAAGCTAACACTTTTAAAACCTTGTTTTTTCAGAAAGATCAGCCTGATTTTAGTATAAAAAATAAATTGGAAGTGGATGAAAATATGAAGTTAGGAGGCTGTTGATTATGAAGATAGAATGAGAGCTGATGATGGTTCAGCCAAGGAACTGGCAATGGGAACGGGTGTGGAGTCTGTAGCATGTGGTGAACAGGTGTAATGGTGGAAGGAGAAGGAGACAGCCAGGAGACTGTGCAGGTTTCCAGCTAAGATGCCAGGTAGATGGTAGAGAAAGAATTTGGAAGGATGAATAGGTTAGGGCCAGAGGAAGACGGTGTCCTCAATCATTCCACACCCTGAGCTTCCACTCCCCTTACCTCTGCTCATGCTGATTCAGTCTCATCACTCTTCCTATTGCCATCTCCACTTGTTGAAATCCTAGCCATTCTTTACAATCCAATTCAAATACCACCCCCTCCTTGAAATCACTTGGACTCCTCCAAATAGCTGTGGCCTCTGGTGCCCACAGCACTAAGTCTGGATCTCTCTTTCCTGGATTCCACCTGTGTTGGGTTCTGTGAAGACTTATCCTGCCTCCTTTCCTAGACCACAAGTTATTTGGGCAGTGCCTCTGCTTCTCTATCCTTGTTCTGCACATGTGAGCTAGCTAGCATAGTAGATGTTTGACAAATATTTGTCAAGTGAAAAAAAATAACCTGCTCTTTGCCATGGAAGGAAAACCAGTAGACATTGGACTGACTTAAAAGCCACAGGATAAAACTGAAATTCAAGCTGTAGGTGTTTTAATATTAAGCCAACTCAAATTTGATGCTCAAAAAGCTTTCTGTTCCTCCAACACATCAAACTCAAAGAGTGCTGGAAAGGTCACATCCTTCAATTTTTCTATGGTGCTTTTCTGAGTTCATCTTACAGCAAGAACCTTTTCTACCTTATTGTTTGCCTTTGGTGATGAGGATGATGATAAATGGGTAACATCTACTGAGTGTTATTAGATGCCATGTGCTGTTCTAAGTACTTCTCTTGGACTAACTCATTTGATCCTTTTGGCTCCCCTATCAAGTTGATGCTATACTCCAGTGGTACAGATGAAGAAACTGAATTTCAGGGAGCTTAAGTATTGTTGAACTAATGTCACAAAGTCAATTGGGACTGGAACCAAGAGGTGAGCTCCAGAGTCCATGCTCTGATGTGCTCTCCTAAGGCCAAGCGCAGCGCTTGGCACTGAGTTGGTCCCCAGCAAGTGTTCAGTGAACGAAGGGGAGGAGTCCTAGATCTGGAGGCTACAAGTTCTGGTCCTAATTCTACCACTGACTTCCACTATAACCTTGGGCAAGCCTGTGCTTTTTTCCCCTATAAAATTAAGTGTGTGGATGTTGATACTAGTGGTAATAACAAGAGCCAGCAGTCGAGATTCTAATCTCTTTTGAGGCTTTAAATAATTTAATCCCAAGGAAAATGAGACACAGAAAGACTCACTTGCCCAATACCTAGAAAATGAGGGAGCCAGGACTCAAACGCACTGTGCGCCTACACTGTGCTTCCAAAGAGACCCTTCATGGACCGCGGTGGGGAATAGAGGGAGGTGGGACAGAATGGAGTGGACTTTTGGGCTCCCTATGCCCATTTCCACCAGAGAAGCTCTATGTGTCACTATTTGTTAGAGTGGGCTCCTACTTGAGATTCCTCTTGAATAAAGGTTCTGCTGCTAAAACAGAAAGGTTGAAAACGATTGGACTAAATAATTCTGGAATTTAAGACATCTTCCAGGTATAAGCCAGGATTTTTCTGGTAATCTTTACTCATTATAGTTTCAGAAGATGGGGGCCAAGTACACTCCTGGGAATGGCTCTGACTATAGAAAAGATCACGGTGATAGCACTAAAGACTAGCTCCAACCTACCTGCTCCACTCGGATCTCAATCTCTCCATTCACCTTCTTTCCATGGAAATACTTGGCCCTGTAAAGGAGAGGAAGAAATCTATTGAGTAAGGATGCCACTCTTTCCTCCCTTCTCCCGAAGGCCTTACCCCCAGAGGTGCATGTCCAGACACATTCCCCACCTTCCTGCTCTCTTCCACCTAGATGGATGATTTTCTCATTATTTATATGTATCACATGGGAAAGGGAAAGAGTACAGGCTGGGAGGATTGGAGACTCGGGTTTCGGTTCTGCCAAGTCACTTTGCATCTCTGTGTCTTCGCTTCATCCTCTGTAAAAGGGAGATATTAACATCTGCATAGTATATTTCTAAACATTATTTTAAGGATCAAAAGAAAGAATCCTACACAAATAAATAATGCAGAATTATTTTATTAGGTAGACCCTATATGACCTGTAAATGACTTATTATGTTGCTCTATCCATCCACTCCTTTATTTGTCCATCTCTCCAATGAAGCAGACCCTACCTGCCCCTTCGTCCATCCAACCACCCTTCCATCATCTTTCCTATACATCCCTGTTTCCGTCTTCCCATCAGCAGTAAATGGCATCCCATCTGCCCATCACTCAAAGCAAAAACACAGACTTCACTCTTTCTACTTCCTTCTCTCTCCCTATCGCCATGGGTTCTACATACTAATTATTTCTCAAATCCATCCACTTGTCCATTTTCTCTATAAGCACCCTAATCTTGGCCTTAGTCATCTCTTTTCTCATATAAATTATCTCTTCATGCTCTACTTTTGTATCACAGCACTTATTATAATTCCTTATAGTTAGTAACTGGGTTCATGCCTGTTTCCCACTGAACTATAACACAATTCCTCCAGGCTAGGAACAATCTGTTTTACTCATCATTCTATTTCCAACATGTACCAGAGTACCTGATACACAGTACGAGCTCAATTAAAATATGCTGAATGAATAAATGATTGAAGAGATAGATGAAGAAAGTGAAGTCGCTCAGTTGTGTCTGACTCTTTGAGACCCCATGGACTGTAGCCTACCAGGATCCTCAGTCCACGGGATTTTCCAGGCAAGAATACTGGAGTGGGTTGCCATTTCCTTCTCCAGGGGATCTTCCCCACCCAGGGATCAAACCCCAGTCTCCCGCAGTGTAGGCAGACGCTTTACCATCTGAGCTGCCAGGGAAGCCCAGATGAAGAAAAAAAAGACACTTTTTGAGTACGCACTCTGTGCCCAAAAAACTGTGCTATACTCTTTAACCTACAGCCCTTCTCATTTAACACTTAAAATCACCACCACGAGGTGGGTATTATTATTTCCATTCCATAAATAAGGAAACTGAAACCGAGAGAGATGAAATACTTTGCCTAAGTGGCTTGAATCCTGGACTTTCACTGCAAGATCAATGCTTCTTCTCAGCCCTGAAAAACAGCAGCAAATGTTGGGGTGCTCCTGGGTTTAGATGACCTCCCACAAAGCAAAAGTAATACAAGTTTCCATTGGCTCTTTTTGGTTGTTGGCCTGATGACACCAAGAGCTCTTAGTGACTTGCTGTAATCTGAGCACTGTGTTGAACATCCCCAGAGACCTTCTCTGGGGCACAGACAGCTATTGGCTTCCAATCCCAATTCTCCTCTGCCCACAGAGACAACTTTTATAGACTGGCACCAAGAAATATGTCAATATATCCCAGCTTTCCATTCAGCTAGGTATGGCCACAAGTTGTTCAGTCGCTCAGTCGTGTCTGACTCTTTGCCACTCCATGGACTGCAGCAGACAGGCTTCCCTGTCCTTCACTATCCCCCAGAGCTTGTTGAAACTCATGTTCATTGAGTCGGTGATGCCATCCAACCATCTCGTCCTCTGCCATCCCCTTCTCTCACCTTCAATCCTTCCCAGCATCAGGGTCTTTTTAAATGAGTAAGCATGCGCATCAGGCAGCCAAAGTATTGGAGTTTCAGCTTCAGCATCAGTCCTTCCAATGAATATTCAGGGTTGATTTCCTTTAGGATTGACAGATTTGCTCTCCTTGCAGTCCAAGGGACTCTCAAGAGTCTTCTCCAACACCATAGCTCGAAAGCATCAATTCTTTGGTGCTCAGCCTTCTTTATGGTATGACCACATGCTTGAGCTCTAATCAGTAGCGTTATATCCAAGAATCTTCTTCTTAGTTTCTTTTCTATTCTTTTCCCTGGAACATCAATGTTCCCATCTCTTTTTTCAACCTTCCACTTATGAGAGAATTCTTCTACAAATTCTCTGACCAAGTTGAAGTCTGTCTGCTCCTGAAGTCTCTCTATCTACACTTAGCCAACTCCAGTGGAATTCATCTCTCTTCAAGACTGCCTGAATCACTGACTGACAACTCTAATATTAATGCCACTTTTTCTTACAGCATTGACAGGCTTAGAGGTCAAGTGGATAGAACTTTATGGGAACAAGAGTTGTCAGTGTGACTTTAAAAAGCAAGATTCTGTTTTTTTCTTCCAGGATGATCTTCCAAAAAATGTGTGTTTGACCAGCCTCATGCAAAGGGAAACTTTTCACATAATTTGTGAATTTTATCACTAATAAAAGTAATGTTGACAAACTCCAGACACTGGGATAAGCCCACTCCTAATATTTGTAGAGCATGGGGCAAAAGAACAAATGGAAGTCTATGTATCATATGCCTAACATTTAAAATTGATAAAGCTGGCAAACATTTAAATAAAACATGCCCGTCTCTTCCTTCCTTGAACAATACAATTTCATAATGATCTGGAAGGGTCAGAATTTGAACTTCTCAGGACTCTTAGGGATCCACCCAGAACACAGTGGCATGGAGGCTGACAGCTCTTGGTTCTCATCGTCCTTCCCAATTCTCCTCCCACCCTGCTCTCTGTCCTGCATCACTGGGGCTTCCTATGCAAGCTTGTGGATGATCCAGCCCACGTGGCCAAACTTTATCTCTTCGCCCACACACCCATCAACAGTCCCCCCGCCATGTCTGGGGAGGATGGATCAGGGAACTGACCTACACAGGCCCTGGAATTGGGCCTGGGTCCCCATGGGCCAGGAAGTCTATAGCTTGGGTAACCACTGCATGATCAAAGGGTATAATTTGCAGGGTCCTCCTTTGTTGTAAGGAGTATAGCTAGTAAAGGACTAAGTAGCACTGAGGGCAGGGGTCCTGCCGCTTGGGTTTACAAGAAGTACTGGATGATCCTGGGACCTCAGGATGGTAACTAATGAATGAAATCACCGGTATACTAGAAAAAGCATGGATCTCAAATCACAGAAGCTTGGGCAAAATCTTAGTTCTATGACTCACTCACTGCATGTTCTAAGACAAGGTACTTAATCCCTCCAGGTCATAGTTCCCTCCAGGTCACTTGTTAAGGGGTGATAACATCTGCCAGCCAAGGTGTGGTGAGAAATTCACTTGATCCTGTACTCAAAGGACAGTAAGTAGAGAGGGTGGATTCAGGGCCAGACCACCTTGATGCAATCCCAGCGCTACCCCTCATTCTTTTTTTTCTGAGACCCCGCAAAACTCACTCAACCTCTGTGTGCCTCAGTTTCCACGTCTGGGAAGTGGGGATAATCACAGTAACTATCCCATGGGGTGTTGTGAGGATTAAATGTGGCACAACGTACAAAGCACTTAGAATTGTTCCTGGCACAGAGTAAGCTCCAAAGTATACAGCCCAGGGCCTAAAGCAGAATCAACAATGAAAACAAAGAACTACCACGTGTTTATACTGTGGCTATGGGTGACGTGTGCAGGGACCCACAAACAAACATAATCCTATCCTCTTGGGGGTTACAGAGTGGAATTACAGTCCGCCTCACTTTGATCTGCCCCCTCAGTGAGGTGAGAGACTGGTGATGATAACAAATAGGCGACGTTGATGCAGAAGGCCTGCAGGCCTTCACATCCCTCCTCCTGTGGGGAAGGCTGGGAGCAGCTCCCACAGGTTCGAAGTCACACAGAGCCTCTAAGCAAGCAGCAATGGTGAGTTAGATCTTGTGCTTTAAGAGTGTCAAGATTCAGTCTAGCTCCTTCGTGATCTACACCCTGTTGACCTACGACCCATTTCTTCTCTGGTTTTCTGCCCACCTCTTGGACACATTCAACTTTCTGTGATTCCTGTGCTTTTGTGTGGCTGAGCCTGTGCTCTTCTCTCCTCTGCTCGGTTACCTCTCTCTCATGTTCCAAGATCCCTGACCACTGTTTCCTTGAAAGCACCCCCCTAACGAGGCTGGGTTAGGTGGCCCTCCTCGGGGTCCCCACGGGGTGCTGACACACATCATTCTGGTTGGAATTACACGTCCCCTGTCCCCACACACCTAGTCTAGGAGCTCCTGGAGACCCGAAAGCGGGTCTCAAAGCTCACTGTGTCTCTCGTACCAGGCACAACGCGCCAGGGCACAGGACGTTTGAGGAAGGCCTGCTGACTGGGTAAATGAATGATGTTTCCAGGGGCAGCTCGCGCTCCAGATGCTCTGCCACCATCTACTGGTACAATGGGGTAACACAACGCTTACAAATCCCCACCATTACCACGTGGAGTCCCCTTCCGGCGTCCCACACGCACAGGATCCTAACTCGCAACTCGGGACCCAGAGCACGCAGCACTACACCGCCACCCCCCAAACAGCTCTGGCTCCACCGGCCTCACCTTCTCGGGAGAAACACTTGTTTTGCCCATCTCTGGAATGTTCACCGCAGGGCCTGCCAGACGGACTCAGGCTGAAGCTGAGGGTCAGGCGGTCCATCCCCCTGCCTGGCCGGGAGTCAGAAGTCTGTCTCCTGACAGGCCACACAGACTGCTGCCTCCTTGCCTGGGGCTCATTCAGGCTTGAGCTGCCTCTGAACAGTCCCGTCTGGCAGAGGGACGGGTAGGGCTGGTCTGGAATTCTAGATGCCTTGGGGGCTGGGGTTGCTGCCTGTGTAATTGCCTGGCTGTCTGACTTCAGGTAGGATGGATGACCCCACTGTGCCTGAGGGCTCTGTCTCCCTAAATGCAGACCTCTTCCGAAGGCCCTAATATGTTTATTCTCATAA